AGGGAATCCACTAAATAGGAGACAGGAGTTGGTCATACATGACCTTTCACAAGACACTGCCCCTCCTAGGAGCTCACCTTCTCTCTGCCAAATTGTGGGTGGGGGAGAAGCTCACACTAACATGACCCGAGGCTCCCATCTTATACTCTAGAAGTCTGATTACAGTAGACCACTTAAGACCCTTAGCTTCCTTCCATTCTATTTTCTGTCTAGTTACTTATATTCAGGAAAACTGTTGACTGGTCATCTTACTCATTTCTCTGATGGGGAGGACCTCATGGCCTCCCCCAAAATTCCCAGCCTCATGTTGGTATCTCCTAAATATAAGTAAGTATAGTGGAGGGAGTAGATGGGCTTTTTCTTTTCAGTTGCAAAGACCCTGGGAGTCAAAGCTCCATTCACTAGCTAGGCAGAAGTTTCTTAAGTTTCCTCAATGACCTAGAGTTTTTTCCCTCCTCCTCCCTTATTGCCAAGGTCAGAACCTAGGTAGGGACTGGAAAGAAAACTAGGAGGGTGACTTTTTTGTCTCCAAAACATTCCCCAGTTGGCTCTTGGGCTTGTTTCTTCTGAGTTATTGAGCCAGAACCTTATAAACAGGTTTAGGAAACAAAGTGGAAGATACTGATTTGGGGGCTTGTACTGAGCCTGGAGCATTCAAAGTGCTCTACAGGTTATATATGGTTAAAATCCTATTTTCAGTTAGATGAGGGGCAAAAAACTTCACACAATTACCAGATGGACCTAATTGCAAGTGGAGTGGACTTTTTCTATCAAGAAAGGTATACTGAAGGTGGTGCTGAGGGTTCAGAGGAGCACAGAAGAGTCACTTCAGCACTGGCTTCTTCCCACCTTTCAAATCCAATTGCCAAAGCACATGGTTGGGTTGGCTCTGGAAGTTATTCCTCTAGCTGTGGGTTTTGACCTAGGTCAAAAAGGGTTACTCAGCCTGGGAAGGAGAGGTTAGGGAGCCTAACCTCTTTACTTTGACTTCTGAAGATGCCCTGTCTTTAAAAAGCCGTAAAGCCTCTACCTGGATTTAAGTTTCTTTCTATGCAATATTCTGACCTTGATTCTGTCTCTGGACTCAGGGGTGCTAAAAAAAAAAGGCCTAGTGGAATATAGCAGCACCAATGCAGTCAACAGAAAAACATCTTAAATCTGTAGGTTTTGTAATCCATACTGATGGGGACTCTCCATGGACCCTGTGCTTATCTGGGGTGTTGCTGCTGAAATTACTAGAATAGTAACATACAGAGCTACAAAATGACATGGTACTAGTGTGCATGACAGGACAGAAGAAAACATGAATACTTGCTCTAGTACATACATGGACTTAAATAATAAAGATGGCATTCTCCTTGATTGGGTAAGTAAAGACAGATAATTGGCTAAAATTATCTAAATATTTGGGGAAAAGTTACTTTATGCCAAAATAAATTCCAAGAAGAATAAGGCTATGAAGTGTAGAAATTAAGTCATTTGAAATATATAAACGTCAGTGGATATTAAATTGATCTTTCCATCAATGAAGACATTCTAAGCATAAAAGCAAATAGAAGAAATCACAAAATAAACTTCTAAAATGTATGTACCTTAAAATAAAAAGCAAACTAGAAACATTTTTGCAATAATTTATAAATGGGCACTATATACTTAATCCATAAGGAGCCCTTAAAAATTCAGTGTGGAAAAGTACTTGGCTTCCCAACAGAAAAATGGGCAAAGGATATGCACAACTCACTGAAGAAAAATAACTGGCCAAACGTTTAGGGAAAAAAGTTGGAGCCAATCTAAAGGGTATTCAAATACATAGAAATTAAACCTACAATGAAAACTTTTTTCTTTTTTTTTTTTTTTTGAGACAGAGTCTCACTGTGTTGCCCAGGCTAGAGTGCCGTGGTGTCATCCTCGCTCACAGCAACCTCAAACTCGTGGGCTCAAGCGATCCTCCTGCCTCAGCCTCCGAGTAGCTGGGACTACAGGCACGCGCCACCATGCCCGGCTAATTTTTTCTATATATTTTTAGTTGTCTAATTTATTTCTATTTTTAGTAGAGACGGGGTCTCGCTCTTGCTCAGGCTGGTTTCGAACTCCTGAGCTCAAACAATCCGCCCGCCTCAGCCTCCCAGAGAGAAAACTTTTTTCTTTTTGAAATCCTATGAAATTGGCAAAGATTTGAAACAAGTCCATGCTAGTTGAACAGAGTAAAGCCTTTCTGGAGTTAAAAGAACCTTGTGTTCATACTGTCTAACCCAATAATTTCACTTAGGAGCTTTTCCTAAAGAAATATCTGCCAAGGATGTATCTGCAAGGATATAATCGACAGCATCATTTGGTAACAACTTAAGTGTCAACAACAGGATACTGTTTAGAAATTATGGCATACCTCAATGCTAGAATATTATGCAGCTACTAAAAACTCTGCTTTTGAATAATCGAATTCCATCATTATGGAAAAGTTTCTTAGATTATAAAATATTGGCAGTTGACAACTCTGACAGGATCAGATGTAATTTTAATTTTTCTGGATTTTTCAGATTTTCATTCATGGGTTTCTTTTATAACATGGAAGAGGTTATTTACAAAAAGGGGGACAAAAGGAAGTAAGAATGAACATGGCTGAGTGTCCTGCACAACCCCACTACAGGGAGGTCAGAAAATGGAAGTAATACGTTCAAAGTCTAAACCATGAGTTCTGTAAAAGCCCTTGAAGTTGCTTCCCCCCCCACCAAATGAGAAGCTGCTTCTCCAGCAGCTGCCTTGGCAGCTCTGCATTGGCTGCCTAGAAGGGTGTGGGAGGAAAAATGCACAAACGCACTTATAAATGGAATGTGTGTTTTGCAAGAGGCCAAGTTGGCAGCTTTGGCTTCCAAAAGGTGGGAGCATCAACTGAAAGAACAGAGTGTGCAGACTGAGGTCTCAGAGGCCTTGTGGTCCAGGCCCCTCTCTGCAGTTCTGGAGTTGGACCCCAGCGGGAAACCTAGCCCACCTATCCAGAAGGAAATGGCTTTGGCTATTCTTGGGAGCAGGGGGAGTACTTTTGGTACAGGGAGCCCTAATCTGCTCTTCCTGCATTTTAAAGATGATCCTTAATAAAATATCTGTCATTTATTGAGCACTTAATCTGGGCTTTGCCTATTTTCATCCTCACAACAACCTTATGAAGTAGGTACTAATTTCCCCATTTTAAAGGTGAGGAAAAGGAAGCCCAGAGAGGGAAAATTCATACATAATCCGATATTCTGTTATTTTCCACAAACTGGATCTTTGAATTCTCAATAATCCTTAAAAGTAGTTATTCCCCATTTTATACTGCTGTGAAAATGGATTCCAATGAGGTTAAATGACTTGCCCAAGAATACTCGGGCACAGAGCTGAAGTTCCAACCCTGGCCTGTCCATATCCAAGTCAGGCACTTAATTTGTCTCTCAGGACTCGAGCCTCAAGAGGTAAACAGAAGCTCAGCTCCCACAGCTCTGGAGCTCAGCTGGCCACTGTCAGTTTCAAGTTGTTCTCAGGGCCTTGCAGCTGAAGTTGGCAGTACACCTGGAGAACTTTCCTCCTGGTGAAGGGGCTTCAAGCTGCAGTGTCCCAACCCCAATCAAGCTCTTCTTCTGGTTCCACATAGGACTAAATCTTACGGAAGCTACTTTTATGGCATTAAACACTGCCCCAACTGCTCAACCTTGAGAGTTAATTTTAAGTAGAATTATTTTTTTATAATTATAAAAGCAATATATGCTGAATGTTAAAAAAAAAAATCCACCCTACACATAGAAGAGCATTTGGTAAAACCCAACTTGCCAATCTCAACAGCCACAGGTAAATACTGTTAATATTTTGGCATATAGCCTTTCAGGTTTTGTATATTTTTTCCTACAAAAATGGACTTAAACTATACATACTATTCTGTATCCCTCCACAATTCATACAATATACAATACTATGAATGTATAATCTCATTTATCTTCACAACACTCCTTTGAGATATGTACCATTATTATTCTAAGTACAGTAAGTACTTTAATAATTTATTCAAGTTCACACAACCAGTAAGTAAAAAAGCTGGGATTCAGAGTCAAGCACTCTGGATCCAGACGTCTACTGCCTTTTTGTGGATATCTTTCACTGGAGATTTTATTTCCTTACACACACACACACACACACACACACACACACACTCTCTCTCTCTCTCTCTCTCTCTTTCTCTCTCTCTCTCTTTAAAAATGGCTACATGGAATTCCATTGTAAGAGCCCTGTGATAGTTCCTTCGTTATGTGTTTTTGTGAAAATATCCTATGACCCTAGGATAACACTCAGGAAGTAGAATTGCAGGGTCTCAGTGTATAGAGCAATTTATAAGGTTTTTGGTATGATACATATTGTATGCCAGTTTAATTCATTTTTTTCTGGAGGGCAATTAATATCTCTACCAGTTTTGGAACTGTGTGCCTGTGCCCCATGTCCTTTTCCAACACAGAATATTACCAGTTTGAGAGTTGATTAAAAAGCAGAACACTGGCTTTTACTGAATTAAGTTTCCAGTTCCCAGGGGGGAAAGGTGGTGTGATGGAGGCACCTACTGGGGAAGGGTGGCACTGCGGCCATGTTGTGAAGGAAAGATTATTCCCAAACATGGAATAAGAAGGGCGTTTCCAGGGTTGGTAAAAAGCTAAAAGAATCTTTCACTCTCCTCTGGCTGGTAGACTTGCCAGAATTTCAGTTCAACCTATCTTTTTTCCTTCAATTTCATAAGAGCTGTCAACAAGAAAACAGTTTGTCTTATAGAAATTTGCTTCGCAGATATTACAACTTCTACAAACTGCATAATTGGCTAGTTTTCTCCATAGAGAAGTCACTCCTCCCAGTTTCCTTATCTGTATACACCATGTGATAGGAGTGCCACATGGAATGAGCACATGCTTCAGCACCTGTGTACATAAACTCACTGACACAAAGAAACAAACTGGTTTCCTCCCTCACCCTGTCTTAAATGAGGAATGCTTGAATTTTAGGCATTTATTGAAAATTCACACATGCCATATAAATGAACTAAACTCCTTAGCTGGTACACCAAGTTTCCACAAAAGCTGTCTTCTGGTTGGAGAGGCCTGGCAGCCTCTGGAGAGGCCAAAGCCTGACCACACTCACTGCCATTGCCCACGAGGTATAAGAAATGGCACAGGGAAAGTGGTGCGCAGATTCACGAACGCAAACTCCTAGTGGTGCTTTCCTCTTCTTCTTTTATTCCCATCAGTCCCAGGCCAGAGAGTGAACCATGAGTGCTGCAATAAATAGGAAATAAAGGTAGGTTTATCCATAGGGTTGAAGGAATGGTTATAAACTTCTGGCTAGAGAAGATCAAGTTTTTTTGAGTGTGTGTATTCGCCACGTGGCAAAGGGCAGACGGGTTTATGGAAAGTTGCTTGCTGAAGATGGTTCAATGAAAAGAATACTGACCAATCCCAGAGACTAAATCCTAGTTCTGCCACTTAAGAGATATGAGGCACATCTCAATTGAGCCTCATTTCTTCAACTATAAAACTATAAAATATTTAAATTACTATCTCACAGGATTTTATGAAGACTAGACAGTAACAGCCAATATACACTGAGCACTTACTACATGCCAAGCATTGTTTTAAGCACTTGTCTCATTTAATCTTCAAGACACTTCACTGATGTAGGTATAACTATTATCTCCATCGTTTAAATAAAGAAACAGGCTCATCGACATTATGACTTGCTCAAGTCATACAAAAGTTAAGTGACAGAAGCAGGATATTTTAATAACAGCAATCTGTTATTAGAGTCCTTATAAATTGCTATTAGCGTCTTTTTGTCTTTGTTCATTTGAAATGCACGTACTATGTACCAGGCACTGTTTGAACAACCTTATAAAACATTAACTTATTTAATAATGTTTGTTGTAAAACGCTTGGCAAAGTGCTTAGAATTTAGGAGTCATCCAGTACATGTTAGTTCCCTGCCACCTTGCAATCAATATTCATGCAGTTGGGTTAGATTAGAGGGCTGAAGAGCTCTCCAAGGCAAAGCAGGCAGAAATGAGCAAAGAAAAACAGAATGTTTCCACCTGATATCTGAACTTAAACTAGCAAGCACTAGCCTTTTGGGTATAGAGAACTGGAGTTTTGAGGGCAGGAGAGTAGCTCTGGAATTAGAACCATCAGAGTCCAAAACCTGATGATGCCCTTAACAGCTGTGTGATCTTAGGCAAATCGCTTAATCGGAGACTTTTTTCCCCTTGTTAAATAGGGAATCTAACAACCTCAATCAAAAATGTATATAAGCATTTAGCACAGTACCTGACGCTTATTAAGAGTTTGATAAATTAGAGCCATTATTATTTTCGATTATTAATTTCAGCAGCTACCAAAAATGTAAGGATTAAGAGCTAAGTCAGGCCCCTAGCCTGAGGAAACCTTCTATTGTCTTTGCTGCTCCTTTTTCCTGAGCCACTTGGTTTCATAAGGGTATCTGCTGGCATCATGGAGACAGTTGCACAGACAAGGCCCAGAGAAGTCAGTCACATAGCAAGCTTACATAGTTTGGGGGAATGCATGTCACTGCTGCTGGGCTTGATCAGTATGTCCACAAAAATCAGAGTGTGACTTTTAAAAGAAAAGAGCAACTCAGGTTGCCTCACTGCAGGATTTGCTGCTTCTATAAGGTCTTAATTCTCCTGACTTGTCAATCTTATCTTAGGATCTTTGTTTCAGTCAGAGCCTAAGCCTTTTTGCTCCCTGACCCTAATACGCCCTCCTAAGCCTTCACCCTCCATGGAATATCCAGGCTACTTCTAGAAGGAGAATGATTTGGGACACTCTTACCTCAGTTTACCTACACAATGGGGGGGACTGCAATAGAAGCAGTCTACCTGGGAATATGAAGACCCAGTCCCCTATTCTACCCCTACTTCTATACATTGTCCCTGAGAACCTATCTAAGGGCAAATCTGTGTGTCCCCCAGAGTCCATGCTCTTGACCAAAAAGCTTTATTGGCAACTTATGGTCACTTTTTAACCTTTTGCTCTTAGTCTACCCACAAACCTGTTTAAAGTACATCAGTCTAAGTTTAAGATGGCTTCTTTCCAATGTAAACACCTAATACTTGTTTCTGCTTTTCAGAGACAGCAGTTCTTTCAAGCTGTCCAGCGGGTAGACCCTCTCACTAGTGGCCCTCAGATGCAGTTACAAAGACTTTATGACAGGAAATGAATTTCTGATCTAGGCTTCAAGGCCTGAAGTATTCATGCTCTGCCATCTCCTAGAATGTCAGAATCTTAAGGGACTTTTAAAAAAATAACACAATCCAATGGTTTTCAAACTACTCAAAAAAGCTATCTTCTTTTCCTCCCTCCCCCAATATATATACTCATTCACTTATCCACCCACTCACTCAGTCCAGAACTTCCCATTATTATGCTTTAAGATTTATCATGGCCGGGTGCGGTGGCTCATGCCTGTAATCCTAGCACTCTGGGAGCCTGAGGCGGGAGAATCACTTGAGGTCAGGAGTCTGAGACCAGACTGAGCAAGAGCGAGACCCTGTCTCTACTAAAAATAGAAAAAATTAGCTGGGCAACTAAAAATAGAAAAAAAAATTAGCTGGGCATGGTGGCAAGCACCTGTAGTCCCAGCTACTCAGGTGGCTGAGGCAGGAGGATCACTCGAGCCCAAGAGTTTTTGAGGTTGCTGTGAGCTAGGCTGCCACCACGGCACTCACTCTAGCCCAGGCAACAAAGCAAGACTCTGTCTCAAAAAAATAAATAAATAAATAAAATAAAAAGATTTAACATCAGTTTTTCTTTAAAGAAAGGGTTTACAGTTAAAAGGGTTTGAAAATCACTGATTTACTCCAAATCCCTCATTTTACTGAAGGAAAATTGAGACCTATGGTAGGAAAGTAGCTTGGCTACCTGTCAAAGGAGACAGGTAATAGAGCTGGAACTGGACTCAGAGCCCTGCTAAAGGACTCAGGCTTAGAATCAGCCAATTGGGCCCTACCATCTCTTAAAAGGAAACAGAGGTAGCAATGGAGTAAAGGGCAGGGAAGGCAGGATCACACTCCTGATATGTGGGGAAGGTAGGCCCTGGTCACACCTAAGCCTGGGACTTCACCTTTTTGACTCAAGTAGTGTTAGGCAGCTATTTCTTACCCCAAAGGGACTACAGGACCTAAGACCTCTGGTTTTAAACTGGGATGAGCTGTCTCCTTGAGGGACTAATAAGTGTAGTTATATATAACAACATATAAATATAAAATGGGAATATAATACCTATTTCTTATAACTGTGAGAATTAAGAAATGATTCATGTAAGTCCTCATTTTGTGCTTGGACATCAACAAAAGGCCTTTCCCCAAGAACAGCTGAAGTCCAGGGGCCAGAGTCACGAAGGGTAACCCTTCACAGTCCTTACCTCTTGGTTCCTGGCAGCAGGATGAGGCAGAGGGTTCCTGGACACAGGCTGTGGTAGAGCTTTCCAATCTTCCGGCCCCAGCGCCAGGCTGCTATCTTCGGGTGGTTCGCCTTCAGAGTCTGAGATCAAAGCCATGTGTCAACACTCAGCCAGAGCAACCTCTCTTCACCTTTGAAGAGGCAGCAACACTCTCCCTTAGGCTCTAAGGCCATGGGATCCCAGTAAAGGTCCTGGACAGATCCCCTGTTTGAAGCTGGAACCCACAGTGCAGGGTTCCCTGTTGACATAGCATCCCCATGCCTCCAAGTCAGTTTAGGACCTTCTTAGGGGAGGATGGCTACTGTCCTTTCATCCAGATGGGTCTTCCAGGACCCCAAGCTAGGGTAGTTACATCACTGACGAGGGCTCTAGTCTGGTTTCTGCCATTAAGTATCTTTGTGACGTTGGGCAAGTTATTTACCAACTCTAGCCTTTACTTCTCATCTGCTAAATGTTAGACTAGGATAGGGTTTCCCAAGCTTCAGTCATTCACCTTCTACCTCCACTCTTCTGCTTATGTAACCCTCTAACATTTTTCTTTAAAGTGAGTCAATTTATTCCCTAGCCTTGTCTAAGTATTAATAATACAATCCATGAAATCATAGGTTCAGTGTGGCTATTGTATACTTTAATGAGTGTTAGAAAAACAAGTCCATAACTATAAAAGGGAAGACCAAAAAAAGACCATTTATGACAACCGTAATTTATCTTGTGTGTGTACCACACTTTGGAAAACCCTAGACTAGATCACTGAAGACTTGTCCAGCTCTCCGACCTCCAATCTCCTGCCTCAGTCCCTCAAAGTCCCTTGGAGAGCTACCTAGAAGACTAAAAACCTGATTTTGGCAGGTATGAATGGGGCAAAAGTATGAGACATCTGGGAGAAAAACAGATGTGGCTAGAGGCTAGAGGAAGCTGGAGAGTGAAATAAGAGTGAGCCCAGGGCAGAAAAAAAAGATTGAAGGATTGAGTGCCACTGAGCAGGATTCTCCTTACTAATTTCCAGAAACAGAAGGCCAAGGCCCAGAGCTAGCAAACCAGAGCAGCTGACTTACCCCTCTGACCCCAAGATACCCTCAACTTACTCACCTGCAAGTCCTGCTGCTCTGATGGGGGAGGTATGACCCGAACGCCTGGGGGCCTTTTTGATTCAGGTGGTAAGCCTCTGAGCCACGCGTGGAGGTGCCTGGGAGTTAGGGCATGCCTGCCTTTCAGCTTCCAGTCCTTGCCTGTGAGAATGTTGAGGGCCCTCTGGGCACTGCCAAAACTTTTGAATTCTGAAAGCAAGAATACCCCCACCTTCTGTTATTAAGGGCCAAGAAAGCTGATCACCATCCAAGCTGGAGCCCGGCCAGGGCCATGGGAGAAAGACAGAGTCAGGAGCTGCTGCCTTGGTCCAGCGACAAGAGCTTGTTTGGTGAACCCTCCCCCTTCTCTGACCTCATGTTATCACCATCCCCAATCTCCCTCCTGAAAACTACATTAGGTGGCATAGACTTACTCAGGAAACAGTATTTTTTCTGCTTTCCACTTTTAAGATCTTTAGGCAAGATCACAGTTTCCAGGCCAAGGAAAAGGTTGGACTGCTGCAACAGGTGTTCTTTGAAGGTTTCGCTCACTCCAGACAGGTAAATAGTACCCCGATTCTCAGAATCTCGTTCCAGCTCATTCACGAGGATGTCACAATCAAGGGTGAGCTCCGTCACAGGCCTCTGCACCTAACCAAGGAAAGCTGGTATTAGTGGTGGAAAGTCACCAATTTAACTCTCAGGCCTGTTGTATACTAGCAAGTAACTTTATTTTTCAGTTTCCTAATCTGTAAAAGGAGGCTAATGATAATTGCCTTACAGAACTATAATAGCAACTTAATTGATAAATACATAAATATATATATTTACACGTAAATATATTCTCTTCAGTTCCCTGCCTCCCATCCCCAAAGAAATTCTTTGCATAAGAAATTTCAAAATACCATCATATGATCCCCCTGAAAGCTGAAGGAAAGGGCAATCCCAAAGAACCACTCAGAATAATCCATTTGGTACCTAAATATTGATAAAGAGCACAAGGAAGACCCCAATCTAGCTCAGGCTAGTTTTGACAAAAATGAAACCTATTATGTTTTAGGTCACTGCTAGGAGAATGCCAGACTTGACTTAAGACTTTCCATAACAAAAAGTCTTGCACCTGGTCCTTTCTAGGGTGTTTCCCGTGTCTTGGGGCACTATAAATACAGGCTGTGCTAGGGCAGGCTTGAGTGTAAAGGGCTGCTTTTGGCTTTCTCTAGCCATCCTACCTTGATACGGGTACTTTCTACCAGAATGCCATCCGAGGATTCTATGGCCAGCTGGGCAGCTTCCAGGACTTCATACTGTATACAGAGATGAGGCTGCAGAAAGACCAAGATTTCCCCATCATTGTTTTCTAGCTCAAACTGCTAAAGAAGGGGCTGGGAAAGGGACCCAAACTACAGTGGCCAAAGCCACCGGAATGGATGCCCTTGCTGTGCCAGGCTAGACAGGTAGTGATTGTAGATTGTCACCTTTAAGTGGAATCACCAAAGTTCAGGACAATAACTAATCTTTATTTGTCACTGGTTTTCAGACAATAACTAACCTTTATTTGTCATTTAAAATTGAAGCCCTCTGCCCTGGGTGGTATGGGGCACTAACTAATTCCTTACTATCCAACTGGCTTTCCTAATATTTATTACAAATCACTAAAGTCATCACTGCAAGTTAAGGGCAGAGAATCCCATTTGTCTTATTAGCTTAATTTTAGACAGGCCGCTCTCCTATGAGCCTGGGGATGTGGGGGGCACGCTAAGTTCTTCCACTAGATAGGCCCATCTTCAAATGGTCTGCTTTCCTGCTTTATGACTCAGGGTAGCTAAATCTGTGGTTATCTGAGCCATAGCATCACCATGGAGAGAAAAGCCTTCCCACAGAAAAGTTCAGTGACATTGGATTTGTCAATGACTTCTTCAATATGACACTGAAGACAGGCAACATGAGAACAAATAGTAAAATTGGACTTCATCAAAATTAAAATGTTTTGTGCATCCAAGGACATTACCAACAGTGTCAAAATGCAATCAACAGAATGGGAGAGAATATTTACAAATCACATATCTAATAAGGGAATAATATCCAGAATATATAGAGAATTCCTACAACTCAACAACAAAAAACCCAAACAACCTGATTAAAAAATGGGCAAACGCTTGAATAAACATTCCTTCAAAAGAAGATACATGATGGTCCATGATGCTCAACATCACTAATCATTAGGGAAATGTTAATCAAAACCAAAATGAGATACTACTTCATATCCGTAAGGATGGCTATTAATAAAAAAATAGAAAACAAGAGTGTCAGTGAGGATGTGGAGAAATTGAACCCTTGTTCTTTGCTGGTGGGAATATAAAATGGTACAGCCCCTGTGGAAACTAGTAGAGTGCTTCTTCAAAAAATTAAAAATAAATTTACTAATTTGACCCATCAATACCACTCTGGGTAATATGCACAGAAGAACTGAAAGGAGGGACTTGAACAGGTATTTGTACATCCATGTTCATAGCAGCATCATTCACCATAGCCAAAAGGTGGAAACAACCCAAATGTCCATTAATGAATGAATGGACAAACAAAATGTGGTGTATACATACAATAGAATATTATTTAGCTCTGAAAAAGAATGAAATTCTGATACATGCTATAACATAAATAAACCCTACAGACATTATGCTAAATGAAATAAGCCAGATACAAAGGACAAATATTATATGAGGTACATAGAATAGTCAAATTCATAGAGACAGAAAGTAAGAACAATGATCACTAGGGGTTGGGAGACAGGGCAATCGGGAGTTACCGTTTAATGAGGAGTTTCAGTTTGAGATGATGAAATAGTTCTGGAGATGGGTGGTGGTGATGGTTGCCCAACACTATCAATGTATTTGCTATATACGTCCCATCCCTCACATCCATCTTCTCAGGGACAATCTTTTTATTTGTATTTTTAGTCATAGGAAAGGGATTAATAAAAGATTTGGGGAAAGCTTATTTTTAAATATCTAGGATTCTATACTTGAATCACTTTGGAAATCTTTTTGTTTTTGCTTCACTCTAATAGTTAATAGTATCACAATTTAATAGTTGCCTAGTTGCAAATTCTAAAGGTACAAAAAGTTTACAGTGAAGTCTTTGCCTAACCTGTTTCCCCAGCAACCTAGTTCCTCTCCCACGGGCCTCCATTATACCCATTATTGTACACCATTCTACAAATATTCTGTTATATTGTTTCTATTTTTAATTCTTTTCTTCCATGGTTTCTTCCATGTCTCTATATGTGCTGATAATATTATTGCTTCATATATATCAACTTTAGTCTTTATTGACGATCTAATATTGAAATGACGATGGAGACTAAGTCCTTTTGAACTATAAAATTTTTCAAATCATACACAAGTATTATTTTTTAAAAAGCAAAGCTAATTAAACTCTTTAAAAAGAGTCTATGTAAAGAAAAACCCAATACTAAAAACTTACTCTAAGAGATTAGAGAACAATAAAACCCTCCCATAATCTTCCTCCTATACCGTAATCAAGCTATGAGCCTACTCTGTAGTTATACCCTGTAGATTACTTCCCAAGACATGAAAGTTATTGCTAATTCTGAAAGGGTATTTAATCATTTAAAGCCAAGATCATAATCAGAAGACCCACAGGCTACATTCAATCAGCAGACATATTTTTTGTCTGGCTTACAGGACATTTAAGAAAACTGTAGCCAACATAAGAAAATTGACAAATTTCTCAATTCTTAAAAAAATCAGAATATATGGCAATAGTGGGTATACATTCTTGTGGATCAACAACTGCTCTCATCAAAGTATGTCTCACTCCAGTTGATAACAATCAAGCTCACTTCACTATTTGTTATCTGAATTTCTAACACTAATCTAGAAGACCAAAATCTGAATTTACTGGTATCCTTACCTGGTGGGTTTCAAGAACAAAACTCATTGACTGGATTGGGCCAAAGCTCTTAAACAGCCTCTTCAGAGCCCTGAGGTTGCAATTTTTGCTAAATGGCCCAGCATAGACAGTTGACATCTCTGCCCATTTCATCCTCATCTAGAAGAAAAACAACAGAATATAGTATGGACGTAGACATGGGAAGAGAATTGCAATCATGAGGGCTGGGTACAGTGGCTCAATGCCTGTATTCCTAGCACTTTGGGAAGCCAAGGCAGGAGGACTGCTTGAGGCTAGGAGTTTGAGACCAGACTGGGCAATACAGAAAGACATCTTTACAAAAAATTTAAAACTTAGCCAGGTGTGGTGATGTGCACCTGTAGTCCCAGCTACTTGGGAGGCTAAGGCAGGAGGATTCCTTGTGCCCAGGAGTTTCAGGTTGCAGTGAGCTATGATGACACCACCGCACTCTAGCTGGGGCAACAGAATGAGACCCTGTCTCCAAAAATAAAAAGAGAATTGCAATCGTGAGTCAAAACATGGGATAATTCCACATCAAAAGAATTTTTTGACACAAACACTTGCCAAATGTACAAGGATGTTCACTGCAGTATTACTTGTTATAGCAAAAATTTATAAAGCACAAATGCTGTCAACAGGTATACTATACAGTGGTATACTATACAATAATAGGTATACTATGCAGCCATGAAAAACAAGGGAAATAAAATATATAATAACATGCAAAGATGTACAAGATATACTATTAAATGAAAAAATAAAGTTGCAAAACAGTACAGTCTGATTCCTATTTTTATAAAAATGTATTTAATGTTAATACCCACATAGAAAAAAAATGCACATCAAACTTAATAATGCATGTAATAATCATTAAATAAATCATTCAGCAGAACCCGTCCACTTACCCTTTTGTTCATCTCCTCAGTGAAGATGGGTGAAAAGGGCTCAAAAGAGAACTGAACAATGCTGAAGGGAAACAACGGGATTTCCACTCTGGCGTGCTCAAGAACCTGTAGAGAATAGCACAGCCTGGATAAGGGAGGAATCTTGTACTTTACTGTGGGTCCTGAAAATAAGCCACAATAATATAAACAGTTGTCCTTTTACTCATATTAAAAAGTAATATGGTGATACTGCTGAGAGAGAGCATTAAAAATAAAAAGTAATATGGGGCTGATTTCCAGGTCTGGAGGAAAATAGTGACACCGCACAGCCTCCCAGAAAAATCACAAAATCAAAAGGAAATTCAAAAAGGAATTCAAAAGGAAAGTTAAAAAGTATCCTGAATGGAAAGAAATGAAAACACAAGTTATAAATATTTATAGGATGCAACTAAAGTAGAACTTAGAAGGAAATCTATAGCTCTAAATACAGCAGAAAAGAACAGTTTGAAATCAATAACCTCAGCTAACATTGTTCTGGATGCATTAGCTATAACATTTCAAAAAAAGAAAATAATTAGACACATATGAATTGAAAAAGGAGAAATAAAAACTGGAGTATCATGCAGCTGTAATAAAGAGTGAGAAAGATTCATATAAATGGATACAGTATGATTTCCAGGATATATTGTTAAGGGAAAAAAAGACAACTGTAAGAGTTTATATAGTTTGCTACCTTCTGTGTAAGTAAGAGAAATAAGAATGCATACATATATCTACTTATCTTTACTAAAAGAAGGAACAAAGGAAAGATAAATGAGAAAGTCACTTACTTACACAAGGTGGGGTAGGATTAGGTTAAAGAGATATGAAAAGGAATGACACTTGTTAGAGTATACTTTTTTGTATAGTTTTGTCTTGTGGAAGCATGTTACTGTTTTATAGATCCAAAAATTTAAATTAAATTAACAAGGATGGAAGGGGATAAAAAAAACTAAAAAATTGAAAAAGCAAACTGAAACAAATGAACACAACTGTATTTGAAATGCGTAATACAGCTAATCTGAAGGGGGGAAGAAAAGAATCCAAGTAACTTATAAACAAAATATTCATATACCTTATACCCTCAGTCAAGGGTGGGGTGGAGATTGGGGGGAGAAGAGGGTTAAACTGTAAAACAAATTCTAAACTCATTCTGTGGGAATATGGGCACATGAAATCTAAAACTAATTTGGATACAGTTTGGGTTTGAGCTAATGAATAAATGCTGATGTCATTGGGAGCCAACATTCCCAATGTGGAAAAAAGGAGATACAAATATGGAACGAGGGAAAGCAAGGAAGAACCCTATATGAGGGCTGAAATGAGAGATACTGGTACAGACACATGATTTCTAAAATACGCATGTATACATATATATTTACGTGTATACGTGTGTGTGTGTGTGTGTGTGTGTGTGTGTGTGTGTGTATGCATGCATGTATTTCTTAAGGATCTAGAAGCAAAGATACCCCAGTAGCAATATGCATAGCTAGCACTCAGGTATTGGTTTCTAATACCAAGATGAGCCTGAGTATCTTGTGCAAAAAGGAAGAAAATGCTTAACAAAATGATGGATGCAGGTCACAAGGACAACGGAGATAGCTTGAAGGGGCGCCCACTAGCCAGATCTGGGAAATTGAAACACCAAAGTAACAGTACAATCATGAATTATAAACCATTAAAAAAAAAAAAGAATCCACTAGTCTACATTGAATGAATGAATGAATGAGGTAAGGGGAGGACTCTTGCTTACAGAAGGCTGAGTAACAACTAGTATATAGAGACTAGAGTTGCAAAACCTTCATTTTGCAACAATCACAGTAAAACTAATTTAGGTGAAAATCATCAAATTTTGCTAAATATTGGGGGATAATTTTGATAAAAAGCAAGACATACAAATGTATGTCCTTAAAGTATCTCTCCACATATTATTTATTAGAATTAAAAAAAAAAAATAAGAACTCTGCAGTAGAGAAAGCAGACAACACCTTGACCAGGTGATCAAAATACATAGCAAAAATATGGGGCAGATAGTTAAGTGCCTCTGAATGTGACACCTTGAGAAAGACATACCACTTGTGCGTATTCACTAAGAATGCATCATCTGAATCTAATCATGAAACACTACACAAACCCCAAATAAGGAATACTCAGTTTAAAAAGGGAGAAGGGGCATGCATTACTCAAAAAATACCAATGTAGGGCTCAGTGTGGTGGCTCACGCCTATAATCACAGCATTTTGGGAGGCCAAGGTGGAAGGATTGCTTGAGGCCAGGAGTTGGAGACTAGCCAGGGCAATATACCAAGACCTCGTCTCTACAAAAAATAAAAAAAGAAATGAGCCAAGTGTGGTGGTGCTGGCCTGTAGTCCTAGCTACTTGGGAGGCTGAGGCAGGAGGATCACTTGAGCCCAGGAGTCCAAGGTTGTAGTGTCATGAAAGACAAAAAGAAAAAGAAAGGTTGAAGAACAGTTCCAGATTAAACACAATTAAAAAAAGAAACTAAAAAGATATGCCAACAAAATGCAACACATGACCCTAAAATGGATACTGTTCTGAAGAGAAAAGAAATGCTATAAAGGACATAACTTGGTCAACCATGGAAACCAGAACACAGATGAAAAGTAAATAAAGGTACCTGGTCAATATTAAATTTACTAAAGTTGTTAACTATACTCTGGTTATGTAAGAGAATATTTTTATTCTCATGAAATATACACTAATGTATTTATTTAGAGGTAAAGAGCCATGATGTGTGCAGCTGACTCTCAAATAGTTTAGAAAATGCCATACAAAGAGAGAAGGGGAGAGTGGGGAGGGGAGAGGTAGGAGAGAACAAGCGAGCATGAGCAAGAAAGCATAAGCATATGAGCACACACAAAAAAATAAAGCAAATGGGGCAGAGTGTTAATAAAAGCTGAATCTAGATAGAAGGTATACAGGTGGTCTACCATTTATGCAAGTTTTGCGTAAGTTTGAAATTATTTCCAAATACAATATTCAAAAAAAATACAGATCTTCTGAATATGATGACACAGTAAGTTTATGTTTTGATACATCCCCTCTGCTTTACACATATAGCAATGATAGTTAAAATGAAAAAAAAAAATCTATCTATTTATCTCAGGCTCAAAACCAAGATAAACATTTCCATGAACCAGAAACAGAACAAAAATTCAAGGTAGTATGCAAGGCCAAAGCCTCAGGCCTGCTGGGCTCTGGAAGCAGACACTGGCAGCTGACAGTTCTGCTCCTATGGGGCTTAGAGTGCTCCACACAAGATGTGAGACAGAAGCCAGACTTGCTAATTGTAGCCAGGGTTGCTGATGAAAAAAACCTTGACACTTCCATGGGGTACAAAGGGCTACATTCCCCTCCGCTTTGGCTGCAATCTGCAAAGGTATAGCAGGCCACTCACCTCTTTATTTGAAAGGCACTTAATAGTTTGACAGTTTCTGGAAGAAGAAAGTTCACCAGCATCTGTCTCCCGGGCCAAGAAAAGGAGCTTCTGACCCATTGAATCCAAGCATTCTAAAACACTAAAAAAGTAGAAGAGTTAAGGTGAGAACAACACTTTTCCATAACCTGACAGTTATTTCTCTATACCTGCACTGTCCAATATGATAACCACTAGCAACACGTAGCTATTAAAATTAAATGAAATTAAAAATTCAGTTTCTCAACTGCATTAGTCACATGTGACTAGTAACTATTCTATTAGATAACATAGATATAGAACATTTCCATCATTGCAGAAAATCATATTGGACAATGTTGCTCTAATAGAGAAATATATGCAAAGCTCTCTACAGAAGTTTAGGCCAGATTCTAAAGATCTGATATATTCATTATAATCTGGAGCCAAACCCCTTTTAAGCCTGTTTTTTGCTTTTGTTTTTCCCAGTCTGGGCAATACATCAAGGCTATAGATTGTCTCTTCTAGCCAACATACCAACTAGTCTATCATCTCTCCTAGTGTTACATGGTTCAATGTATTCCAATGTTTTATTTTTCCTGTAATGGATGTCATTTTAGACCAGCCAAAAGATTCAGAAAATTGGAAATTAGACACTATTTAGGCTAGAAGATGGTATTTTCCCCCCATGGTTTTTGAGATAAATGTTATTCATATTTTTGGTAAATATTCTGAATAGACTCAAAAGAGGAAAAAAAATTTCCCAGGTGGTGGTGTTAAATAAGAAACCAGATACTCCATTTGCCTTTGCTCTTGTTTAGAACTGAAAAATATTACCTTGTATTTGGGTACTGAACTATTTCTGTTGCATTTCTCGGCTCTTGGCCTGCTGCTTGCACTTCTGGGTGACTAGCTAGTCCCTCCAGATTTAGTTCTGCAATCTTGAATGAAGTGGTAGAAATTATTCACATAATTTCTTACAAAGCATTTGAAGTTAAAAGAAATAAAAAACAAACAACAAAAAAACCCCCAAAATCTACCAACTAGCGTTCTCTGCTTCTTTAGACAGTGGCAGTGCCACAGTCCTAGGCTGGCTTTGATAGTTACCAGATGGTTTCTGGCTGCTTAGCCAAAAATGGCAATCTGTTACCAGCTACTCATGTTGTTACATGAATATGGGAAAGGGCCAAGTAGAGCTAATTGAACAAGGATGGCAATTTTAGCTCATCACTCATTCCATACCCAGTCACTTAAAATTTACTTCTCTGAAAACATGCAACTTTTGGAAATGAAAAAAGAATGGCTTTTATAGCAACATCAAAAAAGATTATTTATTAGTTTAATACAAAACCGTAAAAAGTCTATTTTAGTTGATATTTCTTCTTCCATAAAGTGGGAGTCCACTTGAGAGTTGTGACGCAAAGGGTAATTTTAAAAATTAAAAACTTTTAAAAAGAAACTTTTAGAATCATTTTAGACCTACAGAAAAGTTACAAAGATAGTACAGAAAAGTCCATTATACCCTACACCCATTTTCCTATTAGTAATAGATTGGTGCGCTGCATTTGTCACAACGAATGAACCAATCACGATACATTAACTAAAGTCCATGCTTAATTCAGATTTCCTTAGTTTTTACCCAAGTAAGATATAATTTTCCCTAGAAATCAAGCATAAGTTCTCCAAGTGTGATTTAAGAACCACCCTTTCAGAAGCGGTTCATGAGGTCCTTTTTCCCCCAACTAAATAATACACCAGATGGAATGTAAAAGCAGATATGAAAAGCTATCTGCCTTCTACTAAGCTAGACATTAAAGGGATTTGCAAAATATGTAAAACAATGATGGTTTTTAAGGAAAATGGTTTTTTCCATAAAAATAATTTATTTGTAGTCAGGCACAGTGGTATGCACCTGTAGTCCCTTGCTACCTGGCAGACTGAGGCAGAAGGGCTGCTTAAGCCCAGGAGTTAGAGGCCAGCCTGGACAACACGGCAAGACCCCATCTCAAACAAAAGTTATTCGTGTTAATATAGAATGGTTTGTTTAATATTTTGAAACTAATAAATATTAAAAGTATTTTCCTACATATAATTTCTAATATGATAAATGTTATATGGCCCACACAAACAAAAGCTTTCTGTAAAATGGTCCTAAGACCAAAAAGTTTTTAGAAACTCTGTTGTAGTGGTTTAGAGCAGGGGTTGGCAAACACTAGCCCTTGGGTCAAATCTAGCCCAATGTATATTTTTTGTAAAAAAGTTTTATTAGAACTCAGCTGTGCCCTTTTGTGTCAACCTACTGTCTATGGCTGCTTTTGCACTATAACACCAAGTTGAGCAGTTGTGATAAAGACAATATGGCCTGGAGAGCCTAAAATATTTACTATGTGGCCTTTACAAAAAAAGTTTCTAACCGTGATGTAGAGCATAGACAGGCTTTGGAATCTAACAGACCTGGGTTTCACCTTTGAGTAGCTGCAGGATCTCAGACAAGTTATTTAACTTTCCGTTAAATAACTCATGTTAAATAACTCACATATAAAATTGGAATAATAGTTAATGCACAAGGTTGCTGTGAGGATTAAATAAGACAATATATATAAAGCATTTTAGAACAGTACACTTAGTAAGAGCTCAGTGAATGATGGCTATTACTATTCATGTGCCCAAAAAGGATCTTTTAGAATGTCTTTCCACCACCGTGATACAAAACACTATTTTGGCTACTGATTATCATTCTATGTGGACTACAGTTTATTTCATAATGGAGTCATGATGGAATGTATTATGCAATGGGGACAATCTAATAGGTTAGAATACATTGTAACAAAGTCTGTGAGAAACTATGTCCTCTCTTCAAGGTCTTCCTTATGTGCTGTTGTAATCTGTACCCACTGAACTGTTGAAACAATGCTATGTTCCCTCTATCTCAAGAATACAACAATCTGTGTAGATTTTTAATAATTACTACAATTATTAGCATCAACTACAATGATCACACCACCAGTGTGGTGCTTAATATATTGAAGGCACTATGCTAAGAGCTTTATACATAGTACCTCATTTACCCTCACCAATATCCCAGAGAAGTATGTAATTCCATTTTATAGATCTAAAAACTGAAGTTGTTCAGAGAAATTGTCCTACATTATAGATCCCAACATAGTGAGCATATATTTAAAAACACATAAAACAGATAAGCCCAACTTCAGAGACAATATATTTAACAACAACATTATGCTAGTGATATGGGTCTTAATTCCAAATACATGCCCGACTTCAATCACACTCCCATTTTTGTTAAGAAAGATAACAACAGGAGATGATAGTCTATGACTGTCTGATCTAGTCCCATAATTGAAGAAAGGCAAACACACCAGTCAAAGATACTAACCTTCTTTGGGCCATACTTAAGGAAATATCGAGCTAATTCAAGGGTTGTTCTAGCATCTTCTGTAGCATCATGACCAACCCTGTCTGGACACTGTATATCCTTCCTGGAAAGTCAAGATAAAATTCATGCTTGGGAACATTTTTAATGATAGACTCTTCCAAACACTTCAAATGTTCTGGTTACATGTAAAATTTTAGCATTCTGATTAGATTCGCATCACAACATCCAAGACTCTCTTATTCCAGGTAATTGCCAGGCCATGAGAGAGATGCTAGGGATGCAGAACAATCAGGAATGGCTTTGTCCACAGTCACCATATCACCTGGACAAAAGGCAACCCAACAAAAAGTCTCTGGGTGACTCCCCAGTCAGGCCCTTCACTCATTTCTTAGATGTAACCACTGTTTAAAGTTACATTCCAGAAAATTTTCTATTTGTATACAAGCATCTATATTACTTAAATATTTTGTT